ATATATATATATATTATTTCAAACTGTATGGTGTAAATTTTTATTTTTGTCTTAAACAGATATTATGTTTACTTGGTTTCGGTTTACTGACCAACCGCAAACAGAAAATGTTTTTAGCACGCACTAAGTGATCATGAAAATAACATTATTTGTATCTATACAAATAATTTGATAAAGAAAATTTTTGGAAGCAGATAAACTGATCAAGATAATATTTAAAGGTTCATCGATGAAATAACATTATTTTTTCAAACAACTGAATAAATGTTAAGGCTTAGGAGAGAAAATCCTAAGGTTAAATGAATTGTCAAATTTCTATGTATTTTTTAAATAATGAAGGACAGGTCAAATATCCGTGAAGTGTTTTTCCGGTAATTATATGGTCGCCGTACTTGCATGGCCACCTATCTAGCATGTAATGCATATTATTCATGGTCGCCATCACATCAATGTATTTAGGTTATTAAATGGACAGTAAGAAATGTATAAAAGTCTCTAAATGTAGGGAGTTGTAAGTAATCATAAATATGTGTTCGATTATTTGAGATAATTCAATCATTGATAAAATTTTCGTTTGCTTACCCGAAGTTTTGTACTTTTTCGCCGTAACCGATACCACTTGTTGGACCGAGTTGACAAATAACCGTGCATCTGATGACATAAATGAAAGGTCTGCTCTATACCTATAAAAAACGTCTCGAATACCAACCTAATAATGAATATGAATTATTAATTATCAGAATATAGTAGCAAAATTATACTAATAGATAAAATATGATTGATTTTTAATCATTAGTTTTTCACTCTTACATGTAAAAATATAGTTCTTCAATTGTAGAACATAAAAATTAAATTGTGAAATGTAACTTCTCATGGTTATGTGTAATGTTCTCATGTGATGTGAATGCTAATTTTTTATTAATTTTTAACAGAGTACCCTTTTTATTTTCTATCAATACATTTATTTATAATACACTTAAAATTTAAGTACATTATAAATAAATTCATTTAAGTCTTAAATGATATTAATAATAGCAATAAAATAAAATATAACTTAAACGGGCGGGTCTTTGACTTGAATCTGTAGAGTATGTGCGCCCTTGAACCTTAAGTCTTTGGTCGACGTTTTCTTCTTAAGAAACTGTAGAGTCAATAGAAATTGTACGGTCGGTTTATCAATTTAATGAATAGCTCGCAATCATCATTATCTATTATTGCGTACAAAACAGTAACGTATGAAAAAAAGTTATGGACTACACTTGCACTGTATTTTCAAACATCCTTTATACACTATAATGATATTGTATTATGGGCGGTCAATCACCTGTTGCAAAGCTGATGTTAAATCAACTTTGGATATGTATTTAAATGCAGGTATCGTTGCATGGACTGCCGTAGGTTTTAATGAGTTGTGTATATTACGCAATGACAACGTTGGTAACAGCAAAAGTAATTCGGTCAATCCCTCCGGATGGTTTGGCATTAAAATCATCAACGTGTACCTGGAATCCTATACAAATAAAATCGTGCTTATACATTTCATGAAATTAAATGGTATTGATATTTTTTTATATAGGTAAAATGTTGTAATTACATGTTTAATTAGCGCTAACACAATGATACTAAACCTAGTAATTAATATTTATTTCAAAAGCGTATTACTGTACAAAACTTTTATAAACTTATGAAGAAAAATCATGCGAGCAGAGACATTTTTAAAGAGGCTCATTTACGCCGGACATTAAAAATGGATACGAAAGACGCAGTTTAAGTATAGGAACATTATATATATATATATTTTTTTTAATTTAGCTTTTGTATACATTTTTAATATTATGAACGTAAAAGTAAATTTCCTATGTACATTCTATTATGCTAACAATACTAAATACTAATAATAGTTCAAACGTGCATTCTGGTGGAAATGAAATAGCCTAAAAATTACGAAACAACTTAACATGATGAACTTATGCATAGGTACTCAAAATTACAATCATTTCATCACCGTTTTAAAATTAAATTATATAAGTTTCCAATTGCTGTTATTAAAATTTTACAATAATAAGTTCTTGAGTTTTAAAACCTTAAATTGTGATAAATAAAACTCATGCAGCTTATAAGTATAGTTATAGTGCTAAATTAAATTATTGTAATGTCAAAGAAGAAAGCATTTATGATTCCTTCCAGTGATAATTTGTAAAAATAATAATAATAAATAGAAATGTATATAATATAAAATCCTAATTTAAAATCAATTAAATGCTTTTTTGAAATAATTAAACCTGATTATATTTTTTATATTACGTTTTAAATGCTTAGACGAAAATCTAAATTTTAAGGACGTACGATTTTAAAAGCGCAGTTTAGTAATTAGTATCTAAAGGGCATCAATTTTGGTATATTTATTTTCTTCTCGATTAGTAAACATTTTTTTACTCTACGTAATTTGTACACTTAAAATATAATTTCTATAAAATATATTTTTAAACTTACATCTAATGGAATTTCGATAACTTGAGATTTAAGATCATAAATAAAACCGAAGGGCAAGACGGCTGTGTAGGTAAAGAATTGCAAACGTTGGTCTTCTGCATTGAACAAATTTGTAATTTCGAATGGATTAGTACTATAAGCTCTGTCACCCCAATTGGGCATTGGATTAAATGACTTATATCCAGTAAACCACTGATTCTTATTTCCTTGATCTATGAAAAAAAATGTTATTTAAAGTATATTTATTGCTGTATACAATTGTACTTACATTGATTCAAGTATCTTTTACTACGTATTATCGGTTCATTAAGTGCAATCGTAATCGCTGGATTTTTCGGGTATTGCATAAGTATTCTATCTGGTTTTATTACTTTTTTTTTCAATTTTTTACATTCAAGTCGAATATCATCTCTTTTTACCACAAATTCAACATCAAATGAAGGTAAATTATGATTATCCTCAATTGATTTTGCACCGTTTCTTTCAAGTAAGGCAAAGTGATAGTTTTTATTAGATTCAGCTAATAATATTTCGTTATCGACCAAAGTACTTCCATTTTTAACAACTGGTATATCTGTCATAGATATTGAATTTTCCGTTGTTATTGCTTCATTTTCGTTAAAACTAGTAGTTTTTAACAAATCTGTATTTTCTATAATAGTTTTTGGAAATTCGACAATAAGTGTTTCATTTTGTATTCCATCAGGTAATGTTTCATTGTTAATAGATATTTTGTCTTGATTTGTTTCATCTACTTCACTTTTCAAATCAGTTTTAGCTAAACTCTCAACAGTCGCAGGCGATGTTATGCTATTATTTGAAAATATTTCATTTGATTTATCTATCACTGAATATAATATATCTGTCAAATAGCTAGATAATTCAATTGGTTTTGTAATTATTTCAGAGCTTTCGGTTGTGTCAGTTGACTTATCAACCACCTCAAAACCTAATGCTCTACTACTGATATCTAGACTCGTTTGTGTCACTGTTGTCTCAGAAAACATAGGATCATTCGAAAACGTGCTTTCAAATATGTTTTCAAAATCTGTTGCTAAAGGTTTATAAAGTTCTTTGTTAATTATATTGAACTCATTTGATGATTTTAGTTCATCCTCATTTGACAAATACAAAGTAGTGGGTGAATTTGTAGTTGGTTCTGATTGAGTGGTTTGGGTTTGGGTCCTATCTTCAATTGTTATAGCATCTGTTTGCAATTTTATTGACGAATTTGTATTCATATTTGCTATAGAAATAGTAAGACCAGCGTCACCAACATAAGTTACTTCTGCCGATACTGGTAATTCAGTTACAATCGAAGATATATCACTAGCTGCTCCTTTTGTTACATTTGCAACTTGAATTGTTTGGCTAGTGGGTACGATTTCTGTTACCGCTATTCCTTGTGTAGTAATAGAAACAGACTGATGAGTTGTAGTCTTCTCGCGACAAGAATCGATGAGAAAACTATTTGGTTCGTCGAAACTATATAATTGAAGTATACGCTTAAACTGAGAACTTAAACATACTTCTTCTCTACTCATAGTTAAACCATTCAAAAATCCATCACTTTTAAAATAGGTCTATAAAAATGTAAAAACTTTTAAAAATACAGAATTTTGATAAAAAAAAATGTTCATACTTTAAGATATCGATTAAGATCTCGCATTCCAATTCTTACTGCTAAAATTTCCCATGGTAAATTTAAAGACTGTTTAATTTGTAACGCAGAATATCCACTAGAACCTTCATATAAGAGTACTGAAACAGCCATCAAACCAAAAGGAGAAAACGCGATGTTACCAGATGCATCTCCAGTCGCCATAGCCTTTAATAATACATACATCGTTAAAGATATATTCTAAAAGAATGTATTTATAGCCAGACAAGTATCCAAGATGGATTGTGGTATAAGCCAACTATTAATTGGGTGCTTACTTTACTAAAAAAAAAAAAACGGACGTTATAATAATAACATACTATAACACTTTTTAGTATTGGTAAGGTATTTTTAATTGAATTTTAAAGATAATTTTATTTATATTCTTATCTTGCTAGTTTTAATTATTTTTAACAAGAATTGTACTTGTATTTATAACTCTATACATAAAATTATATAAAAGTACACAGTTTATTTGTGATTAATACATACCCGCATCACTCTTATTCCCAGGTCATTTGTCAAATCGGCCATTAAATCAAGTGGGCGAGGATTCACCGGCTGCTTTTGATAAAATGTATATTGACGGTATTCGTCTTGTGAAGAAGTACTGATAGTACCTGTTTCATGTTTAATTTTAAAAATAAAATTCAGTTAGTTAGTATTATTATTTACTTAATGTATTTAAACCCATTAGGCAAACAAAACTATGGTTATAAATAATATTTATTGAAAATGATCTCGCACTGATTATAGCAATTAGTTACATGACCATAGTCACATAATTGAACTGTTTTCACCACACTGGGTCATAGATACTCTCATCATTACTTTAAATTACATATAATTTTATTTTATTTATATATTCACTTTGAATAGTTTTAAAAGTTTGGAAAAATTGATTATTAATAAAACTTATTATTTTAATTAAAATAAAATACATATTAATATTGACATAAGTGGATAAGATTCTTACCAATGAATCCTAAAATTAAATTTATAATCCATATTTTTTGCATTATACAAATATAAAAGTAATTGAGTATATTCAAAAACAGTACAACACTTTTTAAAACAAATATGTTTTTCAAATAAAATGTATTATGAATATTGTTATAAAATACTTATTTTTACTTTGAAGTATAAGTAATAAATAGATACTCATTTAAATATTAAACAAAGTTTTAATTTAAAAAAATTTTATTAAATGCACACTGTGGACACTTGAATATCAAACTACCTTACAGTAAGAACTAATAAAAATGATAAAAGTAGCAGATCTTAAATTTAAAATACTCTAGGAATTGCGCTGAAAAAAACTGTAAAATAAAATCTTTTATTAAACATTTGATATTGCTACACTGTTGAATGTTTCTGTTATCATTTATGATAACAGATTCTAATTATATATTCTTTTTCAAAATTAATTTCAAAAATGTAATTTTACACAATTTTTAACGATATAGTTTCATTAAAATGTTGTTATAATGTTACGTTATATTTATATTTGAATTGCAACGATAATAACTTTTAAGTACTTATTATATTAATCATATTACCATGTACTTAAAATAAAAAATCAATGTAATATGAACTTCTTATATTTATATAAAATTATCTAATAAAAATATGTCCCAAATAGTTTTAATAGAGTCTGATATTGATGAACTATTGAAAAACTATCAAATGCGAAGGCGAATTGATCAACATGTTATTCTGAGAAAACTATCAATACTATGTATTTGTCTAGCTTTATTTGGTATAATTTACTTTGGTTATTTTTGTTCCAATAGTCGTTGCTCACAATCTTACAATCCAAAACCAACATTTTACTCGGAATGGACTGTTTTGAATTTACTATCAACCAACAATTCTGGTTTGTGTTTTACTTTATGCTATAAAAGCAATATTTGTTTGCTGATTCTTAATCACTCATTAAATATATTCTATTTTATTATAGATAAAAATATATTAAAAAATACTGGTACATCTATAAGTTATGATGATATGCAAAATGAAAATCAACTACGATTTGATATGAATGCTCATGACGTTTTGGTGTTTCTACATATTCAGAAAACTGGAGGAACATCATTTGGACGCCATTTAGTTCAAGATTTGGACCTTCAGCGACCTTGTACTTGTCAAAGAAAAAGAAAATTATGTTACTGTTTTAGACCTAGTCGCAATGAAAACTGGTTATTTAGCCGATACTCAACTGGTTGGAAGTGTGGTCTTCATGCGGACTTTACAGAATTAACAGGATGTGTTAACTCAGAATTAGATAAAAGTGAAGGCAAATCAAAAAATAGAAGGTAAACTATTATACAGTTTAAAGTAAAATTTTTTATTTATCAATGTATTAATAATAAATGTTATTATTGTAATTTCAGATACTTCTATTTGACTTTGTTAAGAGATCCTATTAGTCGTTATTTATCTGAATACAAACATGTACAGAGAGGAGCTACATGGCGAATGTCTAAACATTGGTGTGGAGGACGTCCAGCATCTCTAGAAGAACTACCTAAATGTTATAATGGAACATTTTGGACTGATGTAACTTTAAATTCATTTGCTGATTGTTCACATAATTTAGCTGCTAATAGGTAACATTTTAATTTTAAACAGTATAGTGAAATATGAAATAACTATTATGCTTTTAGGCAAACACGGATGTTAGCTGATTTAAATTTAGTTGGTTGTTACAACAATACTTTAATGAATCATGAAAAAAGAAACCAAATTATGTTAGCTAGTGCAAAAAAAAATTTACTATCAATTGCATTTTTTGGACTTACAGAATATCAAAAGGTTTTTTTTATTTATATCTATTATTTCTATATCAGCATCACATCAATTTAGAATAGGTTAGACTCTTTTGTAGTTTGTTCCTTTAACCTTCTAAATTAATTTAATAAAATGAACATTTTCAAAAATAAAACTTATAACTTATAGGTTAAGAGAGATCAAAATTTCTTAAAAATAGGTCTGACCAATCATTAATTTACATGGTACTGAATTCAAATTTGTTTCAATGGTTTTATTATATTATTAGAATAAAAATAGGATATTTTTTTAACCAAAAACAATTAGTACCCATATGTCTTGAATAATATAGTAAATATATTTTACTCATAAAATATATGGTAAATACTTTTCTTCATAGGTAAATACTTTTCTTTTTGATAATCAAATTAAAATTTAAATCACTGAACATATAAGTAACTAAACTAGTTGAAAATTACTCACTGTAATTTTTTATGATGTAACACTAATGTTTTTCCCATATACATATGTTATTTATTTAAATTAATCCACTTGTATTAGTAAACTTCATAATTATTAGGAGGCTACAAAAAAATTGTTAAACTAAAAAGCTACTATAAAAACTTTTGTGACCATTTTTTACTCATTTTGACTAGATTGCAAACAAAAAACATTTTTATATTTTCACAACATTGCCAATAGAAATGCCAAATAATTACTCTTTTGTTTTTGCTAAATACACCACTGATTTCACTAAATTAATAAAATTAAATTCCAAGATAAAAATATATAAGTAAAATTAATGTAACATTAAAACACAACTTAATTGAAATTTTAATATTATCTAGAGTTAACTAAAGGAATGACCTAAAAATAACTTAAAGATTATTACAATAATGCATATAGAGTAAAAAAAAATGTTTGGGTGTAAAATTGTATCATTTGTAAATCTTGTTTTAAAATATATTATTTATTGTGTGTACAATTTTTTAGTTTATTTATTATCTACATTAATTTATACTTGATGTGCTTGTTTATATTTAAGTTAAATCAATACATCTTCGAAGAAACATTCAATTTGAGGTTTGCCATAACATTTACACAACACAACTCAACTCTTTCAGCAGTGTATAAATCTTTGTTAAACAAAGAAGAGCTGGAAAAAGTAAAAAAAGTAAATGCTTTAGATATAGAACTTTATGAATTTGCCAGACATCATTTATTTCGGTAAATAATAATCAAATTATAATTTTTAATTATGGAAAACAAATTTAAAATCTTTAATTTTTTTATATGTATAATAAGGAGATTTGAAAAGTTAAGATCAATAAGTCCTAATTTTAAAGATCGTTGGACACATTTAGGTATGTTACCTAGTAATACTGCATTTGACTGGGAAAAAGAAGTTGAAACTGAAGCTACAGATAATGAGGTCAACTATTCTTAGCTAAAATGGTTGTTAATAAAACTTTTTCAAACCTTAATAAAATGTTTTGCATGAAAACTTAAAACTTAAGTATTATTTTTTATTATACCCATTTTAAGTATTATATTTTATCTATTCATTTGTATGTTAAAAAAATTCTAAACTATTTTACTGTTTAATATATAAGTTTTTTATTATACAACATTAGTTTAAATAAATACATGTATATATAGATATGTTTATTTTTAAATAACATATTACTGCTTTTAAATTAATTTTGATGGCATCATTCCTTTTTTTTTTTATTTAATAGCTTGACTCATCAAGTATTGAAATAATAATTAGTTTTATATTAAATATATATATGACATATCATTTAGGCTAATATTATATAGAAAATATAATTTTGAGGTGATTATGTATTAAAATAAGTTACCATAACACATTATTAGTTAAAAAATTTTACATTATTTTAAATATAAGACTGGATTATATATTTATAGTAAAGCTTAATTATAAGTCATTGAACAGTTAATGTAATACTATAAAATAATTCCAATAAATTTTTTTTACTATACTTTAATTTTTGTTCTGTTAATCAAAGAGGAATAAAAAGTAAATCATTCTTAGTATATTTATTAGTTTATATTTGTCAAGTATAATGTTATAATTTCTTTTATAAATATTGTGTAAATATTAGCTTCGATGCGAAGTTAAGAAGGTATTAATTTTACTATGATGTGTTTTTTTTTTTTTTTTTGTCTTACCACTTTTTCTCAGCTTTCATCAAACCAATTTCTTTCAACGATACGTTATAAGATCCCAAATCGTATCTAGTCGAAGACATTACCCTCAAAAATTGAAAAAATTCTCTCGTTCCCCGTAAATGGGGGAAACCACCAAAAAAATTACAAATTTAAAAATCGCTAATTTTCAAAATTTTTTCTTTACTTAAAACTGCCATAACTTTTTCAAAAATGAACTAATCAATATAATTTTTTATTTATAGATTTATAATGTCTTTACCTACCATTTTATATATTTTTTTTTATAAATTTGACCCATTATCTGCCCACGGGGGGGGATTCAAAATGACAACTTTTTTACAAAAAATTAACTTTTTAAAGTGTTTCGGAAATACTGACACTTATATATACCATAAATTAAAGCTTTTGTAATTTACTTAATTATAAAAAAAAAAATTTCGGACTTTATTTTGTCTTCACAATGAAAATGGCTACTGAATGCTACAACTTATTGAAAAGTGTATGGATCAATACAATTTTTTTATGAGAAATAAAATTTATATCCCCCTTTCATTCGACATACTTTATTTTAATCAGGATATAAAAAAGGATATAACAAATCATGTAGCTTTTGGAATAATCCACTAATTTTTTAAAATTAATCACTATCTAAAGATTTGCATCGAAGCGTTTTTTTTTATAGCGATTTTAATCACTGTATGATATCATTATGCTTGACCCAACTATGCCACATCACCACTGTGCCGCGACCCCCCTGTGTAAGGTTTTTAGATATTATGTTATATGAATAGTTATGATGAATATGTTAAAAGTTTGTTTAATATTTGAGGATTTTGGTCAAAACCAAGAATTGGAAGCTACCAGACGTCTGCCAAATAAAGTCCCTATCTCTTTAAATGAGTTTTAATTACCTGAAGGAGATACAGGCAATCGTGTACCTTAGTTACTAGAGAGAGATTATGTAATAAAGTTAAACTATTGTTTTATGTCAACGAAAAGAAAAGTTATATTTTAGATGTTCAGTAAAATAAGCCATATGAAATGTACAATACGTCTGACCTGAATCTTAGTACAGTTGGTTAGTAGGTATATCCAAGTGAGACGGAGATGGTTAGCTATGATGACAATTTGCGATAGGACGAGTTGTTGAATAAAACAGGTTTTTAATAATAAAAATAAGACAAAAGTGATAGCATTGATAACTATGTCAATAATGGCCATTCAAACACAACTGCCTCTTGTTAGTTCGACATCAAAAGCTCTGTGCTACAGCCGAGTAGAATTGTCACATCAGCATTTTCCCTATACTAATTAATATTAATATTATTATAATTTCATTTATGTGTGGAGAGCACGTGTTTCCTTTTCGTCTAGCCAACGCTAAGGAGCGAGTGTCCAGACCGCTCCTAGTGTTTTTAATTAATTTCCGTATAACATTAACGGCTGTATTCCAATACCGTCTAGGATGTTTGTTATATTATATGATTTTATTTTTATTGCCTTTCTTTGTAGACATAATTTTTGATTTACTCGTATTTTTGTCCATGTTTAACATAATTCTTTTTTTTTACAATTTAATTAAATTTCCTTATTAATTTTAACTTTAATATTTATTTCATTGTGCGAGTAGCTTAAGTACTCGTGTGTATTTTATCCCTGTTCCTTAATCTAGACACGGGCTACGGTACGTTTTACATATCAATCACTTACAACTTCAACTATTATAGTTGTGGTTAACAGGGGTGGACTTAGGTATGTGGTGGCCCCTGGGCGGCATATATTGTGGGGGCCCCTTATACATAAACAAGGAAATATATTTTTTTACTTATTAAATAACAATTATTATCATATTTAGTAGTAGTACCAATTAAGTATTAACTATTTATTTAATAATAAATACCTATAAAAACAATCAAATTAGTATAAGTTATTTTATTTTAATATTAAGTGTAAGAAATTAAAAAAAAAATTATAAAAATAATAATGTCAAATAATTAAAATTAAATGTCTGGAACTTTTCTTTATTTCATTTGTACAAAATTATCAATAATGTTTTGAAAATCAAGTTTTCTTAAAATATCAGACTCCGAACTCATTATGGCTAGTTGATTGAGCCTGTCTCTGTCCATAGAAGTACGCAATCTATTTTTTATATGTTTCAAATTAGAGAATGATCTTTCACTACTGCTGTTTGTAATCATTAAAACAAGATAAATACGAAGAACTATTTCGACATTAGGAAAACAATCTTTTACTTCTTTATTAATTAATATTTTATACATTAAATGTTCTTGACTAATATTGTAAAATTCACTGTTTTCATCTTTAAAATGTTTATAAAATTCTTTAAATTGAATAAGTTCGTTTCCAAAGTGTTCATCGATGTCATCTTGGTAAATTTTAACAAGTTTATTTGCTTCATCTTCAATTTCTTGATTACTTAGTTGTTCTATTTTTCGAAGAAAGCCAAATCGTTGGTATACCAATTCATAAGCAGACACTCGTTTATCCAAGTTAGAAATAAAAGTATCAATAACAGGTAAAAAATTTTGAATTTTTGAGAAGAAGTTAAATCTACTTCGGGTGTTTCATGAGAATCTATTGGATTTAGACGGATATTTCTTTGCCGTTTACGATGTTTCAAATAATCTGTTGTTTCCGAAATGTCTGCTCCTTGTTTTTCATATTGATCAAAAGTATCACGTTTAGCTTGAACAAAATTCTTTAAAGACTTAATAGCAGAAACTGCAGTGTTAAGGTCTAAAGTCGGATCTTGTAGTAATTTATTAGTGCTATCTACTCTTTCAAGGATATTTTTCCAAAAAACCGTGTAAATTCCAGTTTCAAGTGTACACAATTTGTTGTATAAACAATTTGCATCGCAACGCGTTTTTGTTGTTTGTTCAAAGTCATCAGCTATTTGAATTAGAGTACTTTTAAATTGTTTATAGCCTAGCATAAGAGCTTTTGTTGCATCAGATCTACATGACCAACGTGTAGTATGAACTCGTTGTGGTACAAGGATACGAGTTTTGGTATTTTCTAAACTTAGAGCTTTAACTAGTAGTTCATAACGTTTTTTTGATGCTGTAAAAAATACATATAACTGCTCTAAAAAATAAAAAAATTCAACAGCAGCAGTACAACACTCGGCTGCTGCTTTTCCTACCAAATTTAATGAATGAGTAGCACATGGAATCCAGGAAGCTAGTTTATTATTTTCCAGAACTTTTGATTGGAGACCATTATACTTTCCACTCATTTCAGAAGCATTGTCGTAGAATTAGCCTTTACAATTTTTTATGTTTAAGTCATATTTATTTAAAAAGTTTATTAAACCATCATACATATCTTGAGCTTTATGGCCTTGGTTTGGCATAAATACTAAAAATCTTTCCACTGGTGTATCTCTTTCAAGGTATCTAAAAACTAACGTTAATTGATCTATATGACCTTCATCAGGTGTCGAATCTAATGAAATTGAAAAATATTTAGATAGTTTTATACGAGAAATTATTTCACTCAAAACATTATTTCCTATTATTTCTATTAATTCTTCGCAAATAGTAGAAGATAAATAGTTAGTGTGCCCACTTCCTCTATTTGCATGATTTTCAATATGCTGTTTAAGAAAATTATCATACTCAGCTAACAGCTCTAGAATTCCAAGATAATTGCCATTTTCTTTCAGCATTATCTTTGATAACGTCATGTGATTACAGTCAATCATTTTTCATTTATCATATATTTTCTTCTATGTTTGTACAATTTAATAT